CCATGGATTCGTGTCAACGACCGACACTATCTGCAATAGCTTCAATAGGCATGTCGTTCACCGCTACAGCGTGTTTCACCTTTACCAGCGCTTTCGATCTTTTGATATTTTTATAAGAAGCCAGCAGCGTCCCTCACACTCCATTACAGGTAGGGCTCTTACGGAAGCTCCACTACAATTCTTCGTTATGGGCACCATTGTGTAGGTAGAGGCCTAGGCTGCGGAATACCAGAAGCTGGCCGAGGCAGCTCGTCAAGAGCCCTCGTACCGCGACAATATTCATTTCTTTCATGACATTGCGAATCACCATGATCCGAAATGAGCCCGGTAAGAAATTCTGGAGTTGCGGCAAGATTTCTTACCTCTCTTACAAGGGAGGTCGTTCAGGGTGTGGAGCGCTTTTTCAAAACGGTTTTTTGCATGCTGTAGGGGCTCTCACGGGGACTACATACTATGTTTCATTTTCGCTGAGCGGCCCCCTGAAGGTCAAAAAATGGTAAAGAAATGGTCCAGGGTTCAGTCCCTCCTGATGACAAAATTTTTGCATTCGGACTGGAGCCTCGAAATTCGCTTAAAATAGCGCCAGCACCAATATTAGGTACCGTATTCATTATCAAGACCATGAATGAGTACTGCACTCAAACTATTGCCAGAATCTAGCGGAAAAAAGTTGTAGCGCCAAAAAGACGCCAAATGGCGCCGAAAAGCGCTAATTGAAGCTATCGGAAAAGATTGATGTCATATTCATGATCAGGGCACTCGATATTCTCTAAATTAGCAGTTCTAGAGAAAATTGAGATTTTGACCTTGGTCCGAAAAATTGGCCATTGATAGGTCAGCCCGTAAGTACCTGCAGCTGGTGAACTGGAAACGAATTCCTTGTTCTCCTTCTCAAATAATGAGAAGTTCCACTACTAAATGGACAATGGCAGACACCCAAGCTGGTAATGGACAACAAGACACCATGATTTTGAAGTCGACAGATTCCTCCCTCCATCAGGACGTGGTATATTGGGACCCACGGGTCCTCCACTCGAACGGCTGCATCTCGATAGCTGGATCGATTTCCAAGGACTGGGACGTGATGGAAGATGTTTAGTATAAAACCGAATTTTGGTTCTCGTGAACCAACAAGGCATTCCGCTTGATTTCCGCGCCGCGCACGTCTTCAAGTTGCTCGCTGGCGTGCATGACGACCTGTAGCCCATGGTCACCCCCTTTTTGCGAAGTTAGGTCAAAACCTCGATTTTTCCCGAAATTTGGCATGTGGGGGTAAATCAGGGTCCTGATCACGAATATGGCTTTCGTTTTTGGCGTCGGCGCCAGTTTGGCGCTGCAAACTTATCCCGCCAGTTTTTATAGAAAATCCATTTGTAAGAGCTACTGGTTGTCCTGACTGTGAATATAGCGTTAGTTTTGACTCTAAAGCAATTTTGCGTCAGTTTGGGAACGTTTATCAAAAATGCAAAACAGTTGCCGTAGGGCGGACTCGAACCACAAACCCGTGCAACTCGAGGCGGACACACTATCCACTTGACCACCGCTTCGCTGCTACGATATGATGCCGACTACGCCTATGAAGCCCTCGTACATTCTTCAGCACTACCACTGACAGGACTTCAATTTTGAGCGAATTTCACGCTGTTTTCGATACCGTCTTCATCAGTACCCTTCAATTTGCGGGTGATCTTTTCCACAAGTTCAAAGCACCACTCCAAGGCACTGAAAACCACACATTCTTACCAATTTTTTTTCGACCTTTTTTTGACCTTCAGGGGGGCGCTCAGCGAGAAATGGAACACAGTAATGTGGTCTAATACCGTGTAGACCCCTACGCATGCACTAAGACCTGTTTGAAAAAGCGCGCCACATCCCTGACGACCCGTCCTCCTTGTTGGCCGTTACATAATTCCCCTTGTCGAGGTGTAATATAGTGCTAACCTAATACCTAGGACCTTTAATCATCATCTTTATAACGAAATAATCAGACGATCAACTCCAACTCGAAAGTGAGGTCGCCTCCTTTCTCGACTCGCACTCCGCTGGGTTTTGGCAAGGAGGATCAAGAAATTTTCTGAGCGATGGAGACAAGTGGTGGACACTCATGGTAGATATAAGACCGGTCAGGAGTTGTAACCAAAAAAGATAAAAATTAAAATCAAAAATTTGAAAAAGTGTTGCAGGACTTTCTTTCCAACCTAATAACCTATTACATTTGCGACCAGAATCAACAACATGTCCCGGCCTCGCCAGTGGACCACATCTGGGGGGGCTGAAAAGAACTTCGATAAGGACGTATGTGCCATTTCAAAAATTATGAGATCAATGGCCCTCTACCAGCTCTGCGTGAGGCTCTCTCCTCGTTAACTAGCAAAGCTTCCTAGCAAACCGTCAGTCAAACCTCCTCCTAGCCATGTTTCCCTATAGCACTTCCTTGATCGGGCAACCCTCCCGTGCGCCCGTCCATGGCCTTTCATCGCTCTGATGGCCATATTCAACAAGAATTGCCTACATCTCCTTTTTTGGAAAAAAAAATGATCACGTTGACTGTTTTTCAAGGGTGACTTAACACTGAACCAGTGGGTTGTGGAGGGTTCCAGTATTTATCATTTTAAACGCTGGCTATCGGCGTAAGTACAGTATCGGAGCTTCTCAAACTTACCATTTCACTTTCCAGTTCATCCCATTTCTCCTCACTCCGCCTTAGAAAGATAAATTGAGGAGCACATGAGCCACCAATTACTTCAGACGTTTTCCATAGGCTTTCCGCTTTTGCAGCTTCACTTTTCAGCAGAAATTCCACCAGACTAATCACTGAGTAAAAGGCAAAGGAGGCGGAAAGAAAACAAATAGCTATGACTGGTTGATGGAGCTACATATCTGTGCCGTGTTGCCACGCTGAATGTACACAAAATGCTGAGGGACACGACAGTGGAGATTATGAACACCTGACGTTAGACAGAGGTTTGCTCGTCACGGATCGGGACTCTTATGGCAAACCCTTCAGTG